CTGAATTTTGTTGGAATTTTGATATTTATATATATATATATATATAATATATATAAATATATATTATATATATATATATAAATATCAAAATTAATATATATTATATATATATAAATATCAAAATTAATATATAAATTAATATATATTTATATATATTATATTATCTATTATTACCCATTACCCATTATTACCCATTATCTATTATTACCCACTATCACATATATATATAGCGATTTTCCACATTTTTTTCGGTACAAAATTGTCTATCGGTGAAAATCGGTGAAAATTGATTTACAATATTTTATTATGTTTTGTTCTACGAGAGCCGGCTATTCGGACCACTTGCAATTTGAATGCCCCGCTCTTAGGCATTATCTATTATTTAGTTAACTCGACGTTCTCTCTTTGCCCACTATCACACCATCAATTGTTCAGTACTATTGTCTAGAACCGCACCCGTAACGTGGCCGACAATCCTCGTGTATTTGTTGCCAGCTATTTGCAGAGAATAAATTATTTAACGACACGATGTAATGGTCAATTATAAGGTTCCGTTTTATATCAATTTGTAATTTGTGTATCGAACTATCACGACAATGCATAAAACAATTAGTGTGTACACTTATAAGCTGATTACGGATATTTACACAAAATAAAAATATCTGTATCAATTGCAAGAAATGGAAACTAAATAGCAATTTCATTCTTTGGTTAACAGTTTTAACAGATTAAAAATAATACATTGACATTTCTAAATTAAAAAATTTTTTTTACTATTTTCAATTGCATTTGTCTTATTCTGCTGCCATATAAATCCATGAAATCCTCAGTCTAGTTATAAGTAATATCAACAGCAAAAGAATATCTCAAAATGTAAATTAAAAATGTGAAAATAAAATGTGTAAACGTTGCAGTCAGATTGTAGATTTTATGCATTCCCGATAAAAATTAATACGTGGAAACTGTGACGACATTATATGAATTTAATAATGTTACATAATTTCTGACTTATTGACAGTATTAATCTTCGAAGAGCGGTTTGCGTTTTGCCATTTTTGCGTTTGCCATTTTTGTCCAGAGTGTTCGAATCGTCATCTAATTATTGAATGTTTAGCAATTAAATTAAACAAATTGCCGTATCATTATAAACAATAGACCGTGATGAAGATTTCATACATTTACTAAATATAATTGTTGCTCATTTCTCCTAAATCGAAACAAAATTTGATATTTTTGTTATTAAAATCTAATATTGAAAGTGAATGAAGACAGCCTAGAAGCAAACTCTGTCTTGTTCTATTAAGAAATAAATTAAGGGCGAATAAGTGCTAATCGTCGTACAAGGGGTTAAAAATATGGTTGGCAAATTTAACGAATAAAACTGCAATTGTTAGGAAGGGCGACGATTGTATAGTTGTCAAAATGGTGAAAATGGTGAAAAGTTGAGAAAGAATGATGCAGAAAGGAACTATTGATATTGCATGAACACAATCAATCTATTTACAGTGCAGTCATTTCGAATTTATTCGAAATCCATTCAAAATTAGAACACAATATCTTCAATTATTTATTTATAGTTTCAGCCAAAAAATAAAATCAGCTGAAACGAAACAATCGAAGCTCACAAAAAGTACATTGTACGTAGAATATTTCGGAATAACGTAACACGCTATGTTGATGGAAAAATCTGACCATTGAAATTTTCAATTATCGCGAATTAAATCGAACTGCAAACTTACCAAGCGGGCGTTCACTTGCTCCTGAAAAACAAAAACACATTCATTAATAATATGTCAGTTGCTGCATCATTAAATTCTTGTATGCGAATTTTTTCATCAGCTAAACGTACCGCTTAATACGTGTTTGCTTCGCTATTTTAAATTTCATGCAATTTTGACCTGAATGCATTTCTCTGGAAAATCGTGAAACATTGCAGTATTTTACGTTAACGTTGCTGCGTAATGCATCGTTTCTGGTCGAGTCGGAAACTTTTGACTATTTGCCACACTTGCCAGTGCCGAAAGAAGTCTTGAAATTACTCTCGATGTCGTAACGACAGAATTTTGATCTTTTTAATCCCTCCGATGGATACGATCGTTTCAAGAAATGCTATTGGGAACGTGTGCAATGCACGCCATAACTGCAGAAGAAGCAGACACATTTTAACAGCAATACAGTTACAAACGAGTCTGACTTTTTATTTCTTTTTTAACACTTGTTATTGATATTATGACATGAATACATTGGAGAGTGCACATTAAGCAGTGATTTTAAAAGAAATTCTTTCAACAGATACGTATTCAAAAATCTACCACGTTTTTATTATGTTCTAACTGTGACTAAAAAGTAAGCAATTTGTAAGCTTCAAATATTCGGAATCTTAAAAATGAAAAATAATATGAAGTGTTAAAATATTTCAACAGTTTCTTTTCTTCCACAAAGAACTCATTCTCCATCAACTTTATTTAGAATAGTTTTATTTAAATTTTAAATCTTTTTCTAATGATAACCCGGGTCTTTATTTTACACTTTTGTAATAAACAGTGGTTCAATAAAATTGTATTTTGTTCGTTAAGAATTTTAACAAGTTGAGAATAAAGTAACGATGCTCTGTGTGAAAAATGCATAAAACCAGCAGTCTAGTATCTAATGATACATATGTCTTTATGATAAACGATTGTCTGCTGTCACACAGATGCTGTCAATATTTAATTTTCGCACTACAACATTCTCGATCGATTAATATAAAAAAGGTTGAAATCTTTCCCGATAGCTCATTAACCCGAGAAAGATAACCTACGTCGCAGAGGCGCCTGCGAAGACTGTTGATTTTTGTTAATTTTTCATAGAGGTCTAGTGATTTAAGTTTAAAATTACTGAAAATATAAAAAAATATAATATAAATGCATTTTATTTTTACAATAATGCCAAACCTTTAAAATGACTAGATTAACTTAAATAAATATCCATTGTTAGTATAAAATTGACGCCTTAGAAAAGCATGCGCCTCTGAAGCGTATGGTT